CACCAAATCACATGTTCCTGCTGAAAATGCTCCGATTAAAATAAATGTCCCTGAAAGACAAATCACAAGTGCTAATGAATCTAAAGCACGCCTGAAACATGGGAGATCTCTTGGTCCCAAAGATAAAAATTCTAGAAAGAAAAGAGGATCAAAGGAATCAATAATTAGTGACAAAATTCAACCTCCTGAAGATGTTGCTCCCGAAGAGCCAACTCTTAAAGAGAATGAAATTATAGAAAATTCAATAAATTTTGTCATTACAAAAAACATTGGAACCGAAGAGAAATAATTGTTGATAGTACTTTTGCATATAATATAGCACTTAATATTATAGTAGAGGACGAGAATCATGAGCCTACATCGGTTGATGAATGTCGACGTAAAAATGATTGGCCAAAATGGAAAGATACGATATAATCTGAATTAGATTCATTGGCTAAAAGGCAAGTTTTTGGACCTGTAGTCCAAACACCTAAAGGTGTAAAGCCAGTAAGATATAAATGGGTATTTGTGAGAAAAATGAATGAAAAGAATGAAATTGTGAGATATAAAGCAAGACTTGTAGCCCAAGATTTTTCATAAAGATCTGGATTTAATTATGATGAAACGTATTCACCTGTAGTGGACGCAATCACATTTAGATATCTTGTGAGTTTTGCAATGCATGAAAAACTAGAAATGCATCTGATGGACGTTGTCACTGCTTATTTGTATGAAAATCTTGAAAATGATATTTACATGAGAATCCTTGAAGGATTCAACATGCCTGAAGTATGTAAATCAAATTCTAGAGATGTGTATTCTATTAAATTACAAAGGCCTTTGTATGAGCTCAAACAATCTGGATGTATGTGGTATAACCGCCTCAATGAATGTTTAACTAAAGAAGGTTATATCAATGACCCAATATGTCCATGTATTTTTATCAAGAAAAATGGGTCAAATTTTGTGATAATTGCTATATATGTTGATGACCTAAATTTGATTGGAACTTCTGAAGAGATCCAAAAGACTATCGAATATTTAAGAAAAGAATTTGAGATCAAAATTTTGGATAGCCAAAATTCTGCCTTGGTTTGCAAATTGAGCATTTAGAAGGTGAAATTTTTGTCCATCAAACTGCTTATACCCAGAAGGTATTAAAGCGATTTTATATGAATAAGACACATACATTACGTATTCCAATGGTCGTTAGATCATTAGATCCTAATAAGAATTCTTTTAAACCACGAGAGGAAGATGAAGAGATATTTGGTCATGTAGTGCCATATCTCAGTACAATTGGTGCACTAATGTATCTTGCTAATTGTACAAGACCTGATATATCATTTGTTGTGAATATATTAGCAAGATTTAGTTTCTCGCCCACAAGACGACATTGGAATGGTATTAAACATATTTTTCGCTATTTTCAAGGAACAATTGATCTTGGTTTGTTTTATTCAAATAAATCTAAACTTGAGTTGCTTGGATATGCTGATGTTGGGTATTTATCTGACCCACATAAAGCACGATCTCAAACTGGTTATCTCTTTACTTGTGACGATACAGCCATTTCTTGGCGTTCTACAAAACAATTCTTAACTGGCACTTCATCAAATCATGCTAAAATAATAGCAATTCATGAGGCCAGTCGAGAATGCGTTTGGCTAAAATCAATTACCCACTATATCCGGAAGAGTTGTGGGTTATCCTCCGACAAGGAAAATCCTCCAACAATTTTATATGAAGATAATGCAGCTTGTATAGTTCAATTAAAAGGAAGATATATTAAAGGAGATAGGACGAAACACATTTCACCGAAATTTTTCTTTACTCATGATTTGCAGAAAAATAGTGAGATTGATATGCTACAAATCCAATCGGATAATAATTTGACAGATTTGTTCACCAAGGCATTGCCGATTGCAATATTTGAAAAATTGGTGAAAAAAATATTGGAATGCGTCGGCTAAAAGATCTCAAATGATGTTTACATTAGGGAGAGAAATTAATACACAAAAATAGTGTACTCTTTTTCTTTCACTAGGGTTTTTGTTCCACTGGATTTTTCCCTAGTAAGGTTTTAACGAGGCATATTCTTTGTGTAATGGACATTCAAGGGGGAGTGTTATGAAACAATTAAATAAGAATGAATGTCCATTAAAGTTTCCTATGTCTATTGAATTCTCCCAAGGATAAAATTGATTCCTCCAAGGATAAAAGAGTTAGTATAGATAACGGTTTGGTTTTCCTATACAATTAATTCATAACCTCTCTTATATTTAGAGGTTAATCTTTCGGCTTATTCAATGTTGTCTATAAATAGAGGTGATTGAACATCTTTTTGTAAGCCTTGATCGTTTTTGAGTGAATAGAAGAAATAATAGTTCTCTACCTTATTGGCCTCTCTCTATTTTGTTTTATCCCACATCTTGATATTTCATTAGTTTTATAACATCGTGGTTCTTTTTTTTTTTTGGAAGGACCTGTTGGTCTGAATTGATGATAATTTGCGAGACGCGTATGAATTGCGAGTATTACTGCTAAACAAATAATTTGTGATATGAAAAGATGACCTGATATGCCCATTGTACCCTTAATTGCCAAATTAAACTCCATTCCCTCTACCCAACTTCATCTTCATCATGAGATAATCCACCATTTTAATCTCACTGCCTCCTACATCAACAACCTACAACATCTATCCATCTTCCAAGCTCTCCGGCCATCTTCTTCAAGAGGCACAATATTACAATGAACTTTATCTTCTTCATTTTTTTTAATTGAAACACGTCTTGAATTTTTGATTCACTAATAAAGTGAAAAAAAAAACTAAAACATTGGTTTGTTTGGATTGTGAATTATTAGAGATATTTTTACTGTAGCACTTTTTATGATGTGATGTATGTGAGATAAAAAGGTAATTGGGAAGATAAATTAAAAATTTTAATGATGATGCAAGCAAATATATTTTGACAAATAAACAGCAATCCAAACAAGCCCCATTTTTTCCAACAGACAAGTAGTACAAATTTCTTAAGATTTAGAGGTCTTGAATTCAAATCCCCATTCCTTTTTTGCATCTTAAATCCCACCTGTCCCCTATTACAAAAAAAAAAAAAATTATGACAAATTTGAATAAGAAATTCAAGATGTTTGGTATGGCTATATGGCCAATGGGATTGGAGTCGAAATGTTTCACAGTGAACTCATTAAGAAATTCCCTTTAGATTTGGAGATGGGTCTCACAAGTTTAATTTCGCACAAGTTGGTGTAAATTAATAATTTACTCTCAATTTACATTAAATGATAATAATTAACTTATACCAATTTGTACTTGATGTATACTAAATAATAACTAATCAACATGTACTGAACTGCACCTAATTTGAGCGACATATACTTTTTTTTTTATTTATAAAATATCATAATTTCATTAAAATCTGCACTAATAACAAAAATTACATCATTAAACATACACAGATATCAAAAAATAGATTTGCAAAAAGGATACTACAGATATGAAGAATAATAAAAATTACATTATAAAGTTCTAAATTTAAAAAAATGGGATAAAATAATTGTAGGTCCACAGACATCTGTATATGCTTCCAATCGCCAAATCTGCTGATTAACTGTTTCAAATTCAGATACTATGGTGAGATCTACCGAATAGATCTAAGAAATTCCAGATCTGATAATCAAAATCTGAAAAAGCTCAGATCTAAAAAAAGAAAAATGAAAAAATTATCAAAAACTCTCACTAGAAATTCCTAGAAGAGAATAAAACTCTCGCTAAAAAGTTTAGGAGAGAAGGAAACTCTTACTAAACAACTCTAAGGAGAGAAGAAACTCTCATTAGAAAATTTTAAAAGAGATTTTATTCACACAAATGAAAATAAACTATAGAGAGTGCTTCTCCTATAGGAAAAGAACAGAAAATCTGATCTCTCTCCAATGGGAGAGTTAAAAGGGAGTTTTAGTTAGAAAGTTTTTTTCTAGATAGAAGGAAGAGAGGAGGAAAGAAGGATAACCCTAATTTAGTTCGGAATTTGATCAACATATACTGAACTGCACCTAATTTACGGCAAATCAAATCTGATTTATACTGAAATCTTATTGATTTATGCTAGAGGTCAACTTGTGCAAAATTGTACGAATTGCGAGGCCTCAATTCTTGCTCTAGCCACCCATGTGAATCTCTTTTTTTTTTTTTTTTTTTTTTGATGTCCGAGTCAATCCTTACGAGGCCCAACTAATTTCCTGCAACCCGGGCTCGGCGCTCCAACCCGACCCATGTGAATCTCATAGCAGCCACCTTCAGCGTTGGCACGTCATAAAGAAACACAGTTATATTTCACAATTTATTCACCAAATCAAGATCACTTTCCGAAGACCATGATCGTTAAAATAAAGAAACCCTCAGCGTCGGTTAATTGGACAATTATAACATCCACGTTTGCCGGTCATAGAAGGACTTTGCGATTGCAGTTGTGCTACCAAACTACACATTGAGCTTTGCACAAAAAATAAAATGAAAAATTCGACTTCTTCTTTATCTGATCCTTTTTGTGAAATTCTTGACGGTTTTTTCATGCTCACCATTCGTCCACAACGAAATTTTTATAGAAAGAAAAGAAGACTAGAGTGAGCCAACTTGCATATGAACGTTCTTTTCTGTATTGTGTGTTTTGAATTTTTATGTATCCCTTTATGAATATGTCATACTTGGGAACAGCTTTAAGTTGAGATGAAGTGAATTTAGATAATTAGACGTGCAAATAATCTAGTACTTCCTAGAGGTAATTCTCTCATCTTGGTTGCTCCCTTTAAGTTAAACATTTCAGCCAACTTTCACAGAAGTTCAAACCACAGGGGGTCGGAATGTAGGTTTTCGAACCATAGGGACTTTTCTGTAGATTAGTTTAACCACTAGGGCCTTTCTCGTATTCTACCCCCATCATTGAGAGTTAGTTTCAGGGAATCAAAGAGGAGATGAAGTATCATGCAGTTCATGAATTAAATTCTAAATCATCCAAAACTGCAGGACTAATGTTATCTCAATGCAATGTACAGCATAAAGGAAGGTTGTGTGGATCCTATTAAACATGGAAGCAGAACAAGATTTGCTGGCGCAGCACAAGCGCAGAGCTCCTTGAAGAATTTTAACAAAAAAAACAAGGCTCTCAGAATCTTCTTTGCTTTTTTCGCACTACCTTCTATCCTATCTTAATTAAAGAGAATCTGAAGCTTAGCAGGCAACCAAGGGCCGATGGAATGTTAGAAGGTTCAATTTACAGGTGTGGTGTGTTCCTTTATACCTTCGACGGAAGCTTGTAATCTAGCATCTCCCTGATATTTAACCGAATAGAAGGCCCCATTGATGAACATATGTGCGCACTTTTCCAGTATACCCCCTTCGCACCAGATGGCTTGTTTGCTTCTACTGATTTCTGTCATTTTTACGATTGTTATTTGAGGGACATCGAAGTAAGATTCGCGTAAGGAAGCCACGACACAGCAAAAAAGTAATCACAGAGGGAAGAACAAAATACCGCTGCAGCAAGGAAGTTCTCAGTAAGATCTTCCTCTGAAAAATCAACTTTTCCAAAGGGTAGGTGAACAATCCCAGTTTTGTCTGCTCGATATTCGACTTTTCCCTTCTTGAATTCATCAATTGCCTACAATAGGATAACAGACACTATTCAGCTGAGATTTTCATCAAAGCGCCAGTAAAATTAGAGCATTATCACCGACAGATAATCAAAGAAGTCCCCTTTAGCTCTTTCCTTCAAAACAAATTGTGCATGAATTTTGGTTTCTGCATTCAGACTTAATTCCTCTTCCTCACCTCTGATTTGTCCAAAATAGGTGTCATTGTAGATACTGAAACTTAAACGGTAGTAACAATGCAATTTCTTAACCAAACATCCAGATTGCACCGTAACTAACTCAACACCTTACCTGAGGTATGTTTGTAGTTACAGTACCAGCTTTTGGATTTGGCATTAGCCCCCTTGGCCCTAGGATTCTTCCCACACTGGCAACCTGGAGCACAGGAGATGAATCAGCAAAGAACCCATATCTGGCAGATTCCAGCAGGGTACATCGTAAAGCTCTTCACAGATGCACTAGTCAAAACCAAGAAATCATATACCTAACAAAACACGGTCGAGGATCTATACAGCAATAAGGAGAGGGAGAGAGGGAGAAAGCCTCTATAATTTGAAACTCAGGAATTTGCAGTTTATCCTCAAGCAACATGCATTGACAAAAATAAAAAACTGAACCTAAAACTAAATCAAGAATGAGAAGAGATAGCCTCTGTAATTTTAAAGTCAGGAATTTGCAAAAATGCTAAGGTACATAATGCATGAAACTCAACCCAAAACTAAATGAAGAATTAATTATTCAGTTCAACTACAAGAGTAATGACGGTTAGATAAGAAAGATGAGGAAAGAAAAAGCAAAAATCATAGATGGTGAATGTTTATACTACTGTATAATAAAGGTTTGTACACTAACATGAAATAGTACATATATTGAACTAAGCACTCAATTAATGATGAGTAGATGGAAAGCAAAACCCAAAACATAAGTACAGAGATAGAGGCACTCAATGAGGGTCACAGAATAATGCCATATGCCTCAGAACAATAACTATGCATCTTTTAATGGCAATAGGAAAATTATGTTCTTGAATACTATAAGAAAGAAACATTACGTTCTAGAATACTACAATCAAATAGGTTATTTTATTGGAGTAACAAAGAAATATTAATGCTTAATAGACTCTGTTAAGTAGGAAACAATAGAGACGGATATGAATTGATAAATATTTCTACTAAAGGAACTCTGCCACTTGAGCTTTTTATGTTCTAAGAATTTTGAAGAGAACAGATAACATTGATAACCAAAATTAATTAGCATGAAAAAGTCTATCTAATCGATTATATAATAAGAGAGACAGAGCAACACCTTAGGCATCATATCTGGTGTCGCAATTAATTTGTCAAAATCCATGAATCCTCCTTTTATTTGTTCTATCAGGTCCTCTCCACCAACCAGGTCAGCTCCTGCATTTTTTGCTTCATCGAACTTTTCCCCTGTAGAAATTCAGCAGCAAAAAAATGAGTCAACGGAAGCCAATTACTCTACTTACAGAAGTACAAAAAAAAAAAAAAAAACTGCAATAGCTTTCTAGCATGCCAACTGGACATCATGATCCACTAAACCAACATGGAAAAATGTGGTCAAGGAACTGGTAAATCAGCAAAGGCTTAATCATTGACCACAAGGAAATAGTATATCTAAAGAGCCACAAACAATCTTTACTTTTCTTGCTGACTATAAACGTACAGAAACCTAAACAAGGGGATTTGACCATTTTAAGCTGTCAACCAAGCCTGTAACAATGATAATTTGTTGTGGTTCATTATAGAGAAGTTCCACATCCCAGCCACAAAGCAAATATTACTTTTCCAAAACCCAGACAATGTAATTTGACAGTCTTCACTCACCTTCTTCCTTAAAACCTGGATGTTGTATCTTTTAAAACTTAAACTTGACAAAAAATGCCTCGTTATCTTTTCAGCCCAAATAATTGGTAATTAAATAGAAAGTACCTTGGGTAAGAACTGCAACTTTAATCGTCTGCCCTGTCCCCTTGGGCAAATTCACCTAAAATACAGAGATGAATTAGTTCGACAAGTTACTTAAAATCTTGAGCCAATGAGTTAGCACCACCTTTCATTTAAGGGGGTATTAGAAAGAATAAACATACAGTTGCTCTCAGCTGTTGATCATTATACTTTGGGTCAATATTAAGACGGAAATGAGCTTCAGCAGTTTCTACAAACTTTGTCTGGGATGTTTGCTTGAGTAATGATATCGCTGTTTTCAAATCATACTCTTTCTTGTTTTCTCTCAATTGCTGTATTTCCAAGAATCTCTTAGATCTCATCTGAATACAAAAAGAATTAAAATTGATTTGAGAATACAAGTGAAAGAAGGTGGTGGCCAGAAACAGAAATATAAATGTATATTTTTTATTAAAAAAAAAACCAAAAAGTGAAAGTCAGAGACCAAAATGCCTACATATCAAAGGACAGACAAATCCTCAGACTAATTCCCATAAATTGAACTTGTAATATGATTTGAAAAACATGTTAAATGCAAAAGGGATGAAGGCATCCTAAATCGAGATGTTTTGATATGACATTAGAACTAAAATGCTAAGGTCCCAATCAAAGGCTCATACCAAAAAAGAAAAAAAAAAAGGAAAAAGAATGCTGTATATTCCCCCTATAAATAACCTTGCTATGGTTCTGCTCAATGGGACTTCTAAAACAACATTGCTCAAATAAGCGTTCCAAAGTTTTAAAAGAAAGTAGCAGTATCAAGCCGTTTACCGGAGGTCCTTCTCTCAGCAAGATCTACAATCAAGGGATACACATTTGTTCGGCCTATCTATGTCTTAAAGGACCACACAAATGAGATTACGTGAAGCGTACTTCTTCCAGTGGTAACACAATAGAGTTTCCTGATATGCAGTAATTTCTTTCAAAACGAGCAGAAAGTAAGACCAACTGCCCTTCCCTTCAGTGGCCAGAATTTAATAACTAACAAGGAACCAAACAAAAGCCAACAGCAATCCACTTAAAGACCGCTGCTTTCTTCACATACTAATAGATAACTATGGTTTAAACATTCAAGTTCACACTCAATTCAAACTCTAATAAAAATTAACCAATTAATAATACGATAGTATATTTCTGGAACAAGAATCCAAATAAGGGATTTAAAGCAAGAAAAAATCATTAAGATAATCACAAATACACCTAAAAGCATGATCTTTGTCGCTAAATCCTACACAACAGAGGCAACAGATAAAAGATTCAAGCAAAAACCACATCCCATGTAGCAAATGTATGCCCCGAAAGTCATTTCAAAAAAGGAAATATGATTAAAAAAAAGGTAAAACGATTCAAGCATTCAAGTGCCTAGTGAGACACGAATTCATGGAAAACTCAGTTAAATCCAATCCATGAAACTAAGCCAACTATTTATCGTGAGACACGAATTCATGGAAAACTCAGTTAAATCCAATCCATGAAACTAAGCTAACTATATATCCAATACTCACTTCACTGAACAAAAATGCCAACAAATAAGTAAACCCAAGAAATAGTATCAAAAAGTAACCTCAAAATACACCTAAAAAAGTGACCTTTGTCACAAAATTGCAAACAATAGAGGCATATCCGATATCACAAAAATAAACCGGAAAAATTCATTTCAAAAAGGGAAAAACTGACAAAACCACAACACACATACTCTATCCCTCTTAAGAGGCAGTGCAGCTTTTCCTTTCTTCGGCTTTGTAGGAGGGGCAGCAACAGCTACTCCGCCACCACTACCAGCTTCACCTTCTCCCACCTGCTCTTCCACAGCATCAGCCACTTCAGCCACAGCAGCCACCACAAAAGCTGATTTTGAAAATGACCCATCGGAGGAAACCCCCCAGTGGCCTAATGAAGATGACGTTGCTGATGATTTTCTTTCTTTGCACTGAAGAACAAGAGGGAAGAGGGAAAGAGCTTTTGTGGGATTAAAGAAAAGAGGCTGAGGCTTGAAGGAAATTAATGAAGAAGAAGAAGAAGAAGAAGAAGAATTGATGATGGGGTTGAGTTCTTGCTGGGATAAAATTGAGGATAAAGTGAGAGGAGAGGGAGTAGCAGTGGAGGCCATAGCTACTCTTCTGAGGCTTTCCTTGGTTTCAAGAATGGATGGATTTTTCTGGTTAAGAGAATGGGAGCATATTTTGTGGGGCTTATTTATGTCTATCCAACTGATGATAAGTGTTTTGTTTTACTTTATTTATTTTTTTCCCCATCAATTATTTGACATATAAATAATTTCTGGATTTCAAGAAGGGGTCGTTTTCATTTTCGTCCTCTATCATTGCTTGTGCGATCCAATTTGGTCCATCAAGTTTTTGAAAAACTAAAACAAAACCCCAAATGTTGTCAATTTCAGATGAGAAGTCCATAAAACAGGTAATGATTGTAGTCCTTTATGTATAATATTTTGCTTAAGTACATGTATCCTGGAAAAGCTCCCGACTGACTCGTTGAGCAAGTGAAGAGAATGGCATCATATTTGAAATAGAGAGTTTCAATTAAGCGATTGAACTTATGGTCGAGCATTAGGGCTAAATTAGTTTCCATAATAATAGGAGTATGAATTTGGAAAAAACTTATATTTTGCCAAATCCCTCAAACTAAAGAATATAAGAGTTTATGTAGTTTTTCGTAAGAGTTCGCTTATAAAAAAGTGATTTAAAAAATAGAATATATTTAACGATAGACACAAGCATGATAATTTCTAAAAATGAAAAGGTGAACCATCTTTTAATTTATGTGTGTTATATAAGTTATATGTCTTTTAGAGTAGAATTTTCTTTTTAAAATGAGGGATGAAATTAGCCTATGTCCAATTTATGGGGAAGATTTGCCCCTTCCAAGTTTCACTTGGTTTTATCTGTATATCTTTTAGGGAGAAATATGACTTAATCAGAAAACTCCCTCAAGCTGTTAAGTATTACTCTTAAATGGGAAGATTATCTGCAAATTTGTCATTCTTATTTGTTGGTTTTTTTTGAAATTTTTGAAAATTTTGAAACAAATGTAATGCACTAAAATGCAAAATTAAAACCAAGTTGTTGCTCAGACATGGATCATTTTTTCTTTTGACATTTTGCTTATAATGAATGATATAACAAGTTCATATACTCGTACATACATTATAGTCCTAATTTTTGGCTACTTACATATTGAAGAGAAATTTGGTTTTCTTGGCAGTGATGAATTGACTTTTGAGAAGAATTGGTAGTACACATTCGTGACAAAATCATGTGGACTTTAATTAAGAATGACTATTTCAAAGTGTAATAAGGTAAAATTTAAAAAAAAAAAAAGAGAAATTTAAACAAGACACTTAGAAATTTTAATTAAAAAAAAGAAGAAGCAAGACTTAAATTTTGATCATAAGTTGTGGGCATGAAGTGATCCCAATTCCCACAGAAGCAATACAAATCTTTACATGGAATTAGACTAAATCAATATTGCATGTGGAAAATGTAAGATTAAAGCTCTAATTCCCTCTTAATTAATCTCCTATTTTTGCCGGTTTTAAGTATTATAATGGTGAAAATGTTTTTGCCAGCTCTTATTCCCCATTAGAACTCTTTTTTGGTTCGTGCAAAGGCAATATAAGGTTCAATCTAATTTAAGTCACATTAAACTCAAACTTATTTAGCATTTAGATTAGTGTTAAAAGCATGGATTTGGGTGTCAAAAAATTTCAATGCAGCTGCTAGATAGTAATTGGCAATTGTAGCATCAGGATATCGCAATCGGTTTTTTCCACATTGGCCTCGGCTGATAGGAATTTGCATGGAGGAGAAAAGTCTCTTGCCAAATTTGTATGGCTACAAACTAAAGGGCTAAGAACCACGGAAATTTATTAGTCAAGAAATTCAAGTACTCATGATAGGAGATATTTATTTGAGGTAATTGCGACGCGTGGAAAGAATTATTAGGATATCAATATCTTCGTGAAGTGACCCTCTCTGTATGGTGCTATTTGCAGGACCATAAACCTACATTAAATCCTTACCAAGAAAAAAAAACCAAATAAATAAAACTAGAGGTTTGGAAAAAAAATTAGAAGTTTAAATCATAGTGGAGCCTAGGCTTGATTTGACAATTTTGTGAATAATTTGCAGAGTGATTAACATGTGGTTGGATAGCAAATTATTTACATAACTAGGAAAGAGTCCCACGCAATGCGTGGGAGTTGATACCTATGTTGTGAACGAGTAATTGGAGTAACAATCAACAAATTTGTAATATTTAGCTGAAAAGGACATGGAACAAAATAAAAGAAAATTGTTAAAATGTAATACTCTAATTTATTTTTCTAAATATATAGAACTCATCATTCATAACAAGTGAGTGCTTTAATCGGTAAATTCACTGTGAAATAAAGCATGATTTTGTATAGAATCAAAAACATTGTTTTCTTAAAAATGAGGGAACCTAGTGCCAAAAAAAAAATTAGAGAAGATCAAGGCTACTAAAGTGATGATATCACATTGGTATTATAATAATAATACCAAACAAAGCCCTTGCATCAAATTATTTTGGAATGAAATGAAACTTTTGAAACAATTGCATTGACACTCTCACAAGGTGAATAATAATAAGTTGAGTTCTCAAATGTATATATTACCTGTAGGTCATTGCACAGCATACCTGGAACAATATCATCAGCTGAACCAATGATTATAATACGAAATTTAGGATGAAAGCACATGACTCAAATACTATGGCCTTCAAGCATTCGGAGACAATTTTTGACTTGATCATCCCACAGCTAATTGAAGTAAGACATGAAAAGGAGATCAGAATTGTATATAAATTTAGACTATTTAATATATCATAAATATATGAGGATATGAAAAGCAAACCTTGACAGTGGGATCATCAGGATCCAATGATTAGTTAAATCTGCTTCCACCAAAACTGGAACAATTAAAAAAAAATAGCTTCCAAAAAAAAAATACAATCCATTGATATCTTATCATACATATATAACAATGCTAATATGGAAAAAAGAACATCAGATTTTTGAATCAAAAAACTTAAATAACAAAAGACAAACTATAACAAATCTAATCAAGGAACATAAGAGGGAGGAGGGTAGCAAAATAAGCATACCTTCACGAAGGATTGAAATGGAAACCACAAGGAAAGGAAAGGGGAAAAGGAACAACCTATGGTATGAACCATAACCAACTGAACCAATGATGTTTTGTATTAACAACCCCCATTATTGTAGCTACCTCAAAAATCAGCTCAACAAATGCTATAGAAGGGAAAAAGTTTTGCAGTTACACTTCAAAGATGCTTTCCAAGAGATTCCTCATCTCTCATGCATTACTCCTATCTTAAAGATACCATAATTGCTCATTCTAATTAACCCACTATTTGTATGAGTTCAATTACACATGTAGAAGTTTAGGAGAGGAAAACGTCTACAGTTACACTTCCACTATGGAGTAGTCAATTAATCATCATCTTGATACATTCATATAGTCTTAATGATGCTTCGATTATTGAATTTAATTAGTCCCACTCTTTGCCAAGTTCAATTGCTTGACTTACCGTTTGCAATAGTTCCAAGTTCACCCAACTACCTTTTTGTGTTAACTACAGATCTACGGATGGTTAAAAAGGTAAAACTGTCACTACAACCACATAAGTAGAATTTGAGAATATAATCATCATCCCACTAGGGTAACGCTTGTCAACTCACATAGCAATAAGTATAGCATGCTTGTACTCAAAGCTGGATCAGTTGTGCTATGCCGACATGTTACCTAAATTGCCCCTAAAAAAGGCAGATGAAAAATAACCAACAGTCAAACACCAACTCCTTTATATATATATATACTAGGGGGGAGTGCCTGCGCATCGCGCCGGTGTTTGGTGCCTGTGGGAAAAGAGGTTTTTTTGTTGAACAAATAATAGTACATTGTGAGAAAAAATAAAACTTAGTATGAAAAGATAAACGATATAATTAATCAATTCACACAGTGTTACAATAAAACTGTGTCAAATTAAAGGTCGTTGATAATGCAGAAAGGCAGAGCAACACAGAAAGCTAACATTATTCCATAATCCCCACCGAGAGCTCTTTCTTGCTGTTGCTCCAAACCTATAAGATTATAACCAACCCAAACCAATTGGAGTTAGACAACGCGAAAAATGCTATCTTGCAGCTAGGCAACGTGATAAGAGTCGCTAATTGTAGATACTAAGAATACACCGACAAAATTAAGGGAGGAACTGAAAAATTGAGGGGGGTGAAATCTAACCTCATGCTGAACCACCAGGAGTAGCTGGGACTGAAGAGCATTCTGATCTGATTAGTATGAAACCAGGTAGAATTTTCTCAATTCTAGAATACAAACAAGGAGAAACTGATAATCAACCATTTAGGCATTAAGATACCAACGGTTCGGCAATTAAATTGGGTGTAATTAATGACGCAATAATAGGTAATTTTAGAGTTGAGCTCGAATGGAAGAAAAAATGATGAGGCAAATCGTTGTAGACAAAGGCAAAAAGGAAAAACTTAACTCCTGAAGCTGAAAGGGGATAAAATGACCAACGTTTGTGACTCATACATGCAGATTATAAATGATAGAGAAATGGGTTCCTACCATTGATAGAGAAATCGTTGACTCATTTCCTAAATCCGATTGCCATTCAAATGTTTCAGACAAAGCAACATCTCAAACGGTTATTTGTAGCTGAAAAAGGGAATTATTAGTAGCTAAGGGATAGTCCGGTAATTACACCAACATACAAGCATATATAGGTTGTACAAAATGCAAAAATGGTTGCATGCTAATTACACATTCCATCAATACCCAGATAGCTCATCAATGACAACTTTAAATGTATTAAAATAGGGTCATTTAAGTAAACATACCCAATACATGCTTCCTTAACTTGTACCTAAAGCTTTTAAACTAATACACAACATTTCACATTCCTAGAAAGCCCCCACCTATGCGGTTGAAATTCAACCTATTTTTTGACCAAAACTCCATCTTATATAGTATAAGGATATAGGAATTTATCTGTTTGCATTATAAATACATTTTCAATCACTTTTTTTATTTCACTTACATCACATTAAAAAAATTATATTATTTTTTAAAAAAATTATCCAGAATAACCTCC